CGCCGGACGAATTATTATTCAAATGGGGAAAACACTCGGTCGGGACAAAATGCCCTGCGCTATCGGGCTTTATCTCATGTTGGATAAACTTCACAAAGAGCGAAATTTGACTCATGTTGAGATATGGAGAAAGGCGGTTCAATACTTTGGCTCTCGTCAAATGGTCATTGCGGTCAAAATGGATGAAATATTTGAAGACCTACCACCCGATTCCGCCATTGACCTTTCGGGCGAACCCGGTCTCCAGTTGGACGATACCACTCGCACAGAGATAGATGAAGAGATAGATGAAGATACAGAGATTGAAGATGTGATCGAAAATGAAAGGGATACGAACGAAGTAGATTGGAGTTCCCGATTAAGAAAGCGAAAAGAGGTTACTCAAGACACCTCAGACGAAGATGATTCGGAGACTACCAAACGACCGAATATTCCGATATCTACTGGATTTGGAAGATCCGAAAACGAGTATAATACGCCCCAATATCTGGTGAATCTGATCACCAAATTTTGTGGCGAAATTGATCTTGATCCGTGCTGGAATCCCGAGTCAAAGATCATTGCAAAAACCGTATACGGTGAACAAGTCGACGGAACATTTGTCAACGCTTTGACGTTGTCTGATTGGACAAAAAGCAATTGGGTTTATCTTAATGCACCTGGTGCTGCAATCGACGCTGAACAACATGGTCCGAAAACTTCTGCGAAAAGACCTTACCTCCATAACGACTTTTGGGAAAAGACAATGTTGGAAATGAAAAAGGGAAACATCAAACGGATCATTGCAATCATTCCGAATTGTCCATACCGGAAATGGTGCAGGTTCGCCCTCGCACGGGGACTTTGTTGCCACCTTACGAGAAAAGTCCCGTGGGATAAAACGGCCGCTGCAAAGGTTCGAATGGACGACATGCGATTTTCGGCAAAGAATTCACATATCTCGAACGATGTCTATTCACGCATGATCGTGTATATTGACTCGGATGCAGACTATCCACATACAGATAAATTCATCGAGGTCTTTCGAACCCATGGATTTATTCCCGGATTAAATACGCGCATACCAAGGATTCTGGAGATTTCCGAGAAAAGACCATTGCGGTACTTTTCTGCCTTTGCTGGAATCGGTGGTGCCGAAATGGCATTAAGAAAAATCTTTCCCGAAGCCATTTGCGTTGGCTTTTGCGAGACAGATAAAGACGCTTTAAAAGTTTATGTTGAGCATCATCCTCGACATAAAAACTTTGGAGACATCACCAAAATCAAAACAAATACCATACCGGATTTTGACCTGTTAATCGGAGGTCCTCCGTGTCAACCTTTTTCGCTTGCCAATCCGGGAAAAACTAAATTCACCGATCCTCGGGCGGATTTGTATACACAATTCGTCAGAATCCGCAACGACTGTCAACCCCAATATGTGATTATGGAAAACGTTCCTATGGATTCAGCAAGCATTGCGGAGATCTCGAAAGGACTTTTGTCTACGACGGTGCAAAAACTCAATGCCGCGTCGTTTTGTGCACAAAATCGAATCCGTTTATACTGGACAAATTTCTTTGTTCCGGAACCTTTGGATGTGCCTTCGCCGACAATTGACAGTATAGTAGAACCCAATCATTCCGGAAAGTCGCTCCATTGGAAATGCTTCAAACAACCTCCTCCCCCAGATCTCATTGCCGCGTTCAACAAGGACACGGTGGAGCAAACAGTGAAATTTCGGGACGATGGAAAAAGTAACACCATCATAGCGACCGAGTGTTATGAATTGGCTATCGCTGCAAATGGAGTATTCAGGCTTTTGACCTGCTCGGAACGCGAGAAGTTACAAGGGTTTCCCGTGGGATACACCGCATTTGTCCCTGATAAAAGTAGAAAGCGATTACTTGGAAACGCTATGAACGTACCTACAATCGAGTACATCCTAAAGCACATCCCCTAACACTTCATTCGATCGTCCCACCTTGTACTTTGTCTAAGAAATCCTGACCTTGTCTATTAATCTCATCGAGTCTGTGAATCCCCTTTGTTGCAGTGGAATCCACTCGACGCGAAGTTTCTTTGATCTTCTCGTTGAAGAGTGGAGATTCTTGCACAGCATTGTTAACATTTGTGATGAATTTTGCGCTTTTATGTCCCACCTTCACAGCGTTGTTTGCAAATGAACGCGCCTTGTGATAATAACTTGGAGCATTGGTTATAAAAGTATTCGCTTTTTTTTTCAGATTGTTCAAGAAATTTGCCATGTCTGTTATTGTACATAGGCACAGAATTAAATTTGATGCCTTTAGGTAAATGGCATTCTATAAAGCAAACGTGCTGGAATTCCAAGGGATCAACAGGTCAAAAGGAATCCCGAATCTCCAGCGTCACCAAATCGGACGAGCCCTTGACTATAATAATCTAGATGAGAATGGAAGGCCAGATGTCGTTTATTCTTGGAATAGAGACATCCAGGACAAAGATCTTGCAACCAAAACACATTATGTCAAACCAGTTTATGAAGAGCGTGTTTCCAGCGCCGAAATCCTCCGGTTATCTGCAAAACAGCACTATACCCAAGCATACAAAGATGGTCTAGAATATATCAAAGCCGAGAAAGACTATCGCGCTAAAGAACGATATCTGGATAGCATCACACCATCTCGGCGAAACAAGACCGTCACAATTGGGACAAGCACATCAACGAGTGGCCTTCCCGTCCCCGACACGGAAGGTCGGGTTTATAACTATGATGCGCAAACAACTGCGCAAACAGGCTTGATGTTTGAAGCACCGGCTAACCTACATGAAGTCCCAGATTTGCCCAAAAATGTGTCCGGTCAACGTGTCCACCCAGTTATAATCACGCACGAAAAAGAGATCGTTGTTGATAACCTTACTGGAGCAGCCCAAGTCAAAACCGGAAGTTCCTCTGTTCTTAAAGCACCTGTTGTAAGCAATTCTCTTGATTATCAAGAGCCAATGATGCCCGGATCGTTTCCTAATATGATCGGAAAAGATGAAGTTAAAATTGAAAATAACATACCTCCGGAGATCAATATTGGGAATGAAAGAACAGAAAGAAAACCAGAAATCGCTTTGACCACCATCAGCGACCCGAATAAGGTTGAGGAACTCTTATCAAAAACACAAGTTACGAGTAATCTCGTTCGAACCCCTGGAAAGACGCCTATTGGAAATGTGAGGAAAGATCGTCGTTTTGATCCGACCAAACGAAGAATAAAGAACAGATTAGAAGACTCACTATTGCAATCCACACTTAACAAGCAGGAATTGGTAGGATTTTCTGATGGAATTAACATTGAGGTACACGATGATGGCGCAGCAAGACGGAGATTGTCCGCACTCGCTAAAGATAACACAATCCCATCACCAAAACCCCAAGCCCGAATCGGTGCTCGCACTGATGAGTTAGCCATTAATCCCGCTGTTAAACGAAAAGCGGAGGTTTCTCTAAGAAAGGAACCGTCATCAAAGCGACGAAAGATTGATGATGCAGACGAAATTCAATTAATAGATCCAAAAGTTTTGGAACGATCTAGAATGCATCGAATAGTTCAAGCAAATGTTGGAGTTGAGACCATTGTTGATCCAGTGGCTTCCCGTGTTAAGAAACAAGAAAAAGCCTCATTCTTGCGTCCTATCGCAAATCTACGCGGAAAGGAAAGAATCGATTATGCGATACCTCCAACATTTACCGTCGCGGATGTTGAACCTACTGTAAGCATCCGAAAACGCCCTACAAAAACGCAACAAATGCCCACTCGACCTGTCAAAAAGGTCAGAATTGACTGAATTTATGGATTTACATTCAGTGACATAACGCGTTTCAAGTTGTCATAAACGGGATTGCCTAAAATGCAACTTAAATAGATACGTTTCTGATGGTCTAATTGCAATGAAAAAGCAAAGAAACGATGCGTCCGTACTATCCGAAAAGAAACCCCGCAGGTCAAATCATATATCCGCTGGGAACTCGTAAGTGTAAAATTGGATAATTGCACAACCACGATTCCGTTCATTTAAACACCGACCGTATTGTTATGAATGTTATTTGAAGAAAAAGGAACCGGTCGATTTCAAGTTGGATGCTGATAGCGACTAAGCGATCTTCCGAAAGTAACTACCCACTGATTCTTGATTGTTCTTCCTCCTTTCCACCTTTTATCTGATATCGTACATGCCATTGCGTACGCTTGTTTAGAAGAAGTCACTTGTAATTCTACACCCCCTTTCCCTTTGTATGTCAATTCACCTTTATCAAATTTTTCAAGAATCTCATCCATTATCTCCTTCTTGAAAAGTTCGGCCGAAACCTCCTCTTCGTTTATATTGTGTTTTCTGTAGAATTCGTCCATTTATTGTTGTGTAAGATAAAGTGTATTACGCCATTTAACCGCGAGCCCCAATCGTTTCTCCGATTGTGGACAAAGTGAAATAAGGGGTTATACGACTTTTACACTTGTCACCTTGCGGAGAACAATGCTTCTCACACGTTTCTCGTCGGAAAAAAAAGGAAAAAAATAAATGACGCCTCCCATTTGGACTCCATACAGGTCGTATTGACAGCCAAACCGAAATCTAATGGTGCGGTGTAGGGAGGCGTCATTTATTTTTTCCGTTTTTTTCCACACAGAAACATTCTTGTTCTCCGATTGGTGACAACGTGTAAAAGTCGTATAACTTATTTCACTTTGTCACCAATCGGAGAACAACTCGATCCTTGAAATTGAAACTATTACGACAGTAAACTATTCGATTGAGATGGAGAACGTCAGAAAATGATATTTGATTGTCGAATGGATGTAGACAGGTAAAGTTTATTTAAGCAGAAAATTATGTATCTGTTAAACATCCAATTCACGAACAATGGATATTGCAAAATTACACCAAAATCAATAAGTATGGTCTATCATTCTACACCAATAGGAACACAGCAAGAAAGGTTATGGAAACGTTGATGGAGAGATGTGGGCCTGAGCAATGCCTCGTTGCCCATGTTCGAGATTATGAAGGCAAAGGGAAAAAAGGAAGGTGAGATGGTGAAGAAAAAGTACTGCCAATATGCGATCGTAGAATGCTCTAAACTGGAGGATTTGCTGAAAGATGACAAAGGACTATTTGAAGTTATGCATCCTGATAGAATGATGAAACTAATGTTTGATATTGATTATACGGGAATGAATGATCCTATTGGAAGGTAAAAAAAAGGATTCGATCGATTCTTCCGAATGCTTCCATGAATATTTCGGGAAGTGTGGGGGAAAAGGGCGATACTCTGAAATTCTCATATCACATTGTTGTGAATAACTACCATGTTCTGAATGTGGGCGAACTTGACCCGATTAAGCAGTTTTGTGCCATGTATAAGGAACTTGGATTTGACATGAATATCTACAGAGCGAACGGCTTGATGAAATATGTAAACCAATCCAAAGGTGACGGACGAGTCCAGGAGATAATAGAAGGTTCTGATAACATTTTGGATCACACGATCATGCATGGTATTCCAAAGGACAGCATCCACGTAAAGAATGTTTCCGAACTTCAAAACTTTCTATCGACCGGGGCTCCAGCGCTCCGGAAGAGAACACGAGAAAATGACGAGGGCTCGGTACAAGCGAGAAAAGGTCGCTACTATCCGGGTCAAATACCGAGAATGAACTTGGAACCTCCGGAAACCCTAGATATCTATAGAGGGGATCCGCTGCATTTTCTAGCGCACATGCCAAACCCTAAACGTGGGGATACGTTTGAATTGTCCAACTGGTTATGCAGTGAGATCGGTCGTTGGTGTAAGATGGCAGGTATCACCTTTGCGTCGTTTTGGGAGTGGAATTCGAAAAAGGATAGCACTCCGCAACGCAAAGCAAAATATATAGACTTTTGGAATCGGGTGGATGTACAGTCGAAGCCCATTTCGGAGAACTTCATGAAAGCGTGTTTGGTTGCTGTTTATAACGGAAACATTCTAAAGTCGACGCCATACAAAGTAATGGAAAATGCGATAAACAAAGAGTTCAATCATCGCATTGACTCAAGATGGTTATCCTCAGCGGATCTTCACTTGGGTGACGATTATAAACACATTGTATTGCATGTTTCGCTCGGCGGTAACAAAAGTGGAAGTACCATTGATTATCTCAAAGAATTATTGGAGGGGGACAAAGAATTGACAGCGCTTTGGACAACATGTAGAATTGCGTTGACAAATGAACAAAGAGGAAGAATGGAAAAAACAGGCATCACCCAATGGAAATATTATCTGGATTACAGACCCGATGAGAAACAAAATCCAGTGCATCATCCCTATCTCGTATGTTCCATTCAGTCGATCTACTTAGCAAGGGGAGTTTACGATATAATTGTCATTGATGAGTGCGAAACGTTATTGCGAAGTTTTGCGGACGATGCAAAATGCCATGGTAACCCATCTCAACATTGGAAGAATTTCATGCGCCTGTTGGCGTCAGCAAAGAAGGTAATTTGGATGGACGGGTTTCTTACCTAGAGCGACAACCGATTTGATTCGAGACATTGGAGGTGAAAGTTTCATTATTGGATCGAGTGTTCCTCCTCCGCAACGAGAGATCAAGTATTGCAAAGAAATAGAAGATCTTTATGCGAAAATGTTCAACAGTCTGGATAAAGGGGAAAAGATCTTTATCGCATCGGGAGCAAAAGGTTCTCGAAAGGTTCATTCCGCATTTGATGGGGTGGAAAACATTGTTTCGACGCTAATGGCAAAATACAAATGGAAACGTGGAACAGAAATAATTGGTATCCACGCGGATCGCAAAAAAGACAAGGAGAATCTGAGAAATATTGAGGAGGTATGGGGAAATCCGGCTGTGCGAGTGGTGGTTGGAAACGCTGCTTTAGCGGTGGGCGTGAATTATGATGTAAAAGAAGGGATGCGCCCGTTTGACCGGGTTTTTGGCATTTTCAATCCGGCTTGTATATCGTACCGGGACTTTTTCCAATTACTGGCAAGAATTCGGAGGCCACTTTCGAATGAGATATGGATTCTGTTTACGGAACCTTTCATGAAGGCAGTAAAGCAGGATCGACTGATTGTTTCACAATCCGATGGATTTCGTACCTTAGCCGCGCATATGGATTCAGAGAGTTTCGCGGATAAACATCACAAATCGGCACAGGATCTGTTCAAATTGTATGCAGATCTATGTAACATCAAACTATGCAGCAAAACATGCTTTGCATTGGAAAAGGATGCACGTCATTTAATAAGCGGCTGTTTCGACAGTCGATTCAATATGTTCTCATGGCATAACATTAAGGATATCTCAGGAGAAGAGTGTGAGAGACTTGAAAGATTGATCGAAGCCCTCCAAGCAGACGTCGATCAGATTCTTCAAGTTAAAAAATTCAGGTTCAGAAATCTATTTAGAAGTGTGGTTACTGAAAACCTTGTTGAAATCTACTGGGACACGTACAGGGATACCGTCTACGCAGTGAATAACTTTGGCAGGTTAGAACGAGGTCAAGAACTGTATCACGACATAAAATGCGCCCCAATAGTCCACAAGTTTTACAAGGACAATAATCTAACAATCGAAGGGGAAATCAGACCAGAGCATGTCTGTAACTCACCTTTTGAAGACATACAAAGATCTTTTAAAATGTTTCACCGACCGAAAACGTACAGAATGGACCTATACGCAAAGATCATCAATGCTTATTTTTGTGCACCAATTATTGTTAAAACGAAAGAGAAACGTAAGAATAAGAAACGGTACACATGGGACACAAATGGATTGTTACTTGGTAAGATAGCAGAAGCGTTGCTATCATTCGAAGAGTTCGATATCTTGAATTGCGATTAAGTCCTTATATAATGCTTTAATTAAAAAAACATTCGTCGTTCTCCGACGGGTGACAAAGTGAAATTAGTTATACAACTTTTACATGTTGTCACCTTGCGGAGAACACGAATTTTTCGGTTGGAAAAAAAAGTGAAAAAATAAATGAGGCCTCCAATAATGTTCAACATCTTATTTTGTAATGCATTGAATATAACAGAATGTCTGGATTAAACAGCAGAAATTCGAGCGGTTTGCGAAATTTAAACGATACGCTGTTGAACAGCCCGTATGTTTCCGGAAATATGAAAGCCCTTAGTGGAGACACAAAACTCTCCGGATTTCATTCAGCCGAGGTGAAAAATCTCTATAACCAAAATGGTGAATTAAAAATCAACGACCTTGTTGACAGCGAAGATGCTATTATTTACAAGACTAACGGAACCGCATCTATTGGAGTAATCCCTGACAATATGGAATTTCCTCTCGAAAGGAATGACGGAAGCCGAACTGTTTCCCTTGTAACAAACTTGCCTCTTGGAGTAAGTCAGGGCGGATTAACTCTGTTTCACGATCAGACTCTTTCAGAGAGCGATGAAGGTTTGACTGTAAATTTTCCCCCGCCTGATCTAGAGAATCTTCAAGAGCCTTTGTCAAGAGACGATAAAGGAATAAAGTTGGACTTTGATGAGGATTCATTGGAGGTGAATAATGGCAAATTAGCAGTTGTGAAAGAGCCTTTGACGGCCCCGTTGACGCGTAACGTACAAGGAATATCTCTCGATATTGACTCCACATTGACAGTTGAAAACGGTCAGTTGTCAGTTGTTCCAGAGAACATTCAGGCGATTGTTGATCAATCTTTGGAAGTAGCAGAACCGCTCTCGAAAGATCAGGACAAGGTTATCCACCTCAATTATGGGAAAGGGTTGAAAGTAAACGATGAAGGGAAACTGGAGACGGATATTGATACCGTTATTATTGGACGAGGGGCAATCTCGAATGATAAAGGTTCCAGTATCTTGCTCGAAGATGTCCTACAAGAAGGGTTTGATTCCCTTGCGGACTTTCTAGGAGATGATACGGATGTTGATACAACTGTTGTGCGTTTAAAGACATCTGATGATTTTCAACAGACTGGCAACAAATTGGCTATCCGCTCGAAAGGTATGGGACAGGTTCCATTCTACTCTGCTTTAAGCGGATTCAATGGAGACAGTAGTTTTACGTATAATGAAACACTCAATGAATTACATGTCCCGCATGTATACGTCAATACCGACTTCAATCCGGACAATAATCAAGTGCCAAGTACTGCCTACGTAGAGCAATTGTACCAAGCAGGGTCAGGTATAGACATATCCGGAGTGTCCAATGGTCGGCGTACTATCGATGTTAGAACAGATGCAAGTTTAGCAATTGACTCTTCACAAAATCTTTCAGTAAATCCGTCGGCTATCGTCGACAATAAAGGTGTTCGCATCGTCAATGATAAAATTGCGATAGGACTAACTTTTCAACCTGGAAATGGCGGATTGAAATTAGAGAATTCGAATCAAGTGAAACTCGCTCCATCTGTCTCAGGTTCAATCACATTCGATGGTAACAACACGTTCGGTGAGAAACTCACAGCAAGTAACGGAGTTAAACGCATAGAAAATGATTTGCAGTTGGATTTACAGGCTGGTGATTCGACTGTTACGGTGACAGGCAATTCAATAAAAGGTGCCTATACTGGATCTAATGGAGTGTCAGTTACGGGAAACACTATTTCCGGCGCCTACACGGCTGGAAACAACATATCCATTTCGGGGTCAAGCATCAGTTGCACATATCAACCAGAACCGGAAACACCCACGGTAATTACCGGCGCTTTACCTATCATTGTTACTGGAGCGGATAAGGAATTCAACGTGTCTAAGCAGCCTTTGGTTATAACAGGGGGCTCCGGAATCCTCGTTGTTGGCTCCGAGGAAACCGGTTTCAATATCTCTTCAATTCAGCCCTACAAGAACCGGAAAGAAGATGATGATCCGGAAGAGAAAAATGAGGATTCGGAGCCCAGTGGCGAATCTGATCCTTTAACAGCATCTGGATCTAATCCCGTAGTCTCCGTTACCGGACCCCTTTCCACAATCCTTGGAGGCGCGGTTGGTCTCATTGGCCCTGCGGCTGGCGCTCCATTTGCCACATCTGCTATCGGTAGCGTCGGGGGTCTTCTTGGAGGACCTGCTGCAGCAGCAGGAATCCTTGGTGGTTTCATCGCTGCAAGTGGTCGACAAAGAAAGAATCAGAAAGACGCAAATGGCAACAATGTAGTGGATTCAAAGGGAAACCCCGTTCCAGATCCAAACGGCTCACAAGTTATCATCGCAACTTTCCCAAAAACGGATGATACATCCTGTGATGTTACGAGATTACTTTTTGACACCCCACCTCCATGTTCATATCTTGGTATTGCAAAAGAGATTCCACAGCAGGCTGTAAACTTGGATATGCTACGTCAATACGACTCTACAATCATACAGCCAACTTATTCAAATTTGATCATTCAGAATACAAATCTTCTTCAGACTGCTATCGATGGTAAAGTTGCAAAAACGGATACCATTCCGTATGCGAGAATAACGGGTGCTCCAGATCTCACCATCTACGAGAAGAAATTAACATTTGCTGGACCTATCCTTTCCAGAGATACATCTAATACCGTTTCCGTTAATACCGGAAATATCACTACTCTTGGGACACTCACATCTCTTAACGTAACAGGCGCTTTGACCGTCGGCTCTATAAGCAGTCCGACTCTGAACAATTATCTGTTATCCAGTGTTGCTTCAACAACTTATCAACCTTTGAATGCGCGTCTTACAAATTTTGGGAACATTGCGCCAACAAACACGTACATGCTAATCGCAAGCGGAGGCAATTTCATTCAGTATTCCCCAGCAGACGTTCGTGCGAATCTCTCATTAAAAAATCTGAGTTTGCTCGATACGTTAGACTACACTAGTTCGGCGTTGGTGAACAAACCTACGCTTGGTTCTCTTGCAGCACTTAATGTCCTCGATTACACTTCGGCTTCACTTACAAACAAGCCTTCGCTTGGCAGTTTGGCGGCTAAATCCGTTATCAATCTCGCAAGTACAGATGTCACCGGAATTCTTCCTTTCGGGTCTGTTGATCCGAACATTGTTATTGCAGGAACCGGCCTCTCGAAAACCGCTCAGACGCTAAGTGTGAATCCTGTACAAACACAAATCACAAGTGTGGGTACTTTAACGGGTCTCACCGTTTCTGGTTCTAGCACATTTACAGGGTCAATAACCGTACCTACTCCAACCACGCCTTCGCATGCTGTAACAAAATCATATGTGGATGGATTGATTTCTACAACGCAAACGGGAGCGCAACCGCTAAATGGAAAATTGACTGCTATTTCTTCGAGCACCGCCACTCTAAACAATTTCCTTGTAGGAGATGGAACCAATTTTGTCTCAACGACTCCATCAGCATCTAGGACGGCTTTGGGTTTAGGCTCGATTGCATTGAAGAATTCTATAGATTTAGCAAACGATGTTGGGGTGACTGTCCTTCCATATAGTAATATTGATCAAACGGTTGCCCAAAAGTCATACGTCGATGGTTTAGTCTCAACTGCTGGAACGGGATTGACAAAAACAGGAAACGTTTTCAGCGTTAATGCTAGTCAAACAGGTATAACATCTCTTGGGACCCTATCATCATTGAGCGTCGGTGGGAATGCAAATATTGCTGGAGATGTCACGGTGTCAGGAAATGTAGTTGTATCAACTGTCCCGACATTGGGGACACATCTTACAAATAAGACATATGTCGATACCCTTCTAAGTGCTGGAACAGGATTGACACGTAGTGGAAATTCGTTCAGCGTAAATCCTGCTCAGCCTCAAATTACAAGCGTTGGAACTCTATCATCTTTGAATGTTGGTGGAAATGCAAACTTATCCAATGTTCAAATTGCCGGAACGACTGATTCTACCTCGACCACATCAGGTGCGCTCCAAGTTGTTGGAGGAGTTGGTGTGGGGAAAAGTGTGGTGGTTGGCGGCACCGTATTCCTAGGAGGAACAACAGCGAACCTGAATACCACAACAGGACAGACTTTGAATATAAATAACGCTGCATCGACTGTAGTTACTTCTACTCTTGACTCCAACGCTATAAATGCTGGTGCTCTCCAAGTTGCAGGCGGCGTTGGAATTGCTAAATCATTATACGTCGGTGGATATGGAATCATAAAAGAATCTACAGCCGGAAATGGACCTTCTGTAGGTCTTATAAACTCAAACGGTGGAGGTTGGACTTTGTGGCATATAGGCCAAACAAGTGGCCTTGGAACTAATAATTTCGGCTTATACAACAATACTGCCGCAAATCTTGCGTTAACGGTGAATGTGGCAACAAACGCATTAAATATCAATTCGACAACTGATTCGAATGGTATAACAACGGGGGCTTTACAAGTCGCCGGAGGAGTTGGTATCGCCAAGAAATTGACCGTAGGGAGTGATGCGAGTTTTGTCGGGTCAAATCAAAGTATCTTTTGGTACAACGGTTCGGTATCCACACCCACATTTGGAAGCAGCATAACGGGCAACGTTTCAGCAGCAGGGTATTTTTCCTCAAATTCGGCTATTGGCGATATGGTAATTCGGGCACAGTACAATAATTCACCGACAAACTTACGATTCGCTAACGGACCCGGCGTATCAAATCTGATTTTGACAAATGGAAAT